CCAACAAGTCCACCTTCGAACATTCTCAGTATCTACTTGTGCTGTATGGGTTAATACAGCACAAGTAGATACTGAGAATGTTCAAAGGTGGTATATACAGTACCATCACGTTCGTGACTTGTCCGAGTATCCCCATTCTTCCTTTATCATATCGGCTAGTTTCTCGGCAATCATATAAATAGGTACGTTGGTGTGAGCCGATATAATCTCGGGCATGATGGAACCATCTGCTACTCGTAGTCCTTGAATGCCAATCACCTGCGTTTTACATGAATTTGTAAATTATATGTGTAAGTAAATCGATGTTTACGTGTGCGTGAACGTGTGTGCTTACATCACGCAGGAATATTCGTTGTAGATTTGGAAATGAGCACTCTATAGAGTACATCTTTCGCACGAAATAAATACCTTTAATTTAGGATCGACGACAGCGGTCGGGTCGCCTCTCGGTCCCATCTTACAAGTACCAGAATAGTGATAGATGGTAATAGACGCCGTCCTTACCGCGCAATCCCAATAAGCATAAGAATCATACTCGTAGTTTTCGCATCCGGGAAGAGTATCGTTCGACAATCGTGAACCAAACTTCTGCATCTCTTTCGTCCGACCGACGCTTATCGCAGCTTTAATGCCGGCAATCATTGTCTCGACATCTTCCGGATGGTCGAAATAATTCGGCACGATTTCGGGTTTAACGTTAATGTCATTGGCCACTAGTCTTATCCGACCACGACTCTTTGGCTTCAACAGCATCGGTAGTATGCTCCAGCCGTGATTACTGTTGTATTTGTGCCATATCTGACGCATTCGATCATTGAAACCCATTATAGTCGGAAAAATAATATCTCCTTTAAATCCACCACCGATAAATAACAGTTCGATGTCCGGTAAACCGTCACGTCTCTTTGGATGTTTGGTGTCGATAAAAGCGAGGGCTTCGCACGCACCTGGAACCGTGAGTGGTCCCGCGCGCTCTATCAGAAAGTCCTTTATATACGGAGAAGTGGGATTAATAATGTCGAATAGATTCAAAGATATCGGATCGTTCACTGTCCATGTTAATCCGCCAAAAGCTACGTGATCCATTAGATTTTCGCCAACCGGCGAGTCCCGGACGACGTTTATGCCGAGCTCGTTAAGATGCTTGGCCGGTCCGATGCCAGATAGCATCAGTAATTGAGGCGATCCGATGGAGCCCGCACACAAAATCACCTCTTTGTTGGCAAACACGCGGATAAGTCGATCATGTTTGACAAACTCAACGCCGATCGCCCGATTCGCGCGACGATCAATCAGCACTTTTCTCACCGTGCTCTCGCGTGTCACGTGAAGATTTCGGCGATTTTTCGCGGGGTGTAGGTAGGCTCTGTTGCTGCTCATACGGGTGCCATTCATAATCGTGCTCTGTACATACGAGAATCCTATCATATTTCTCCCGTTATAATCCAACAGCGGGTATCCGAGCTCCTTACCAGCTTCTAGGAAGGCCTCTGCCAATTGCGTGTGGAATAACGGATAAGAGATGTGCAACGGTCCTTTGGTTCCATGGTAGATAGCGTCCGACTGCAGCTCTGGGATATCGATTGTCTCCAGTTTTCTAAAGTATTCGAGAACGTTTTCGTAAGCCCAGCCCTCGTTTCCCATCTCAGCCCATCGGTCGTAATCCTCGGCGCCGCCTCTGGTTGCGATCATGTAGTTTAGCACGCTGCTGCCACCCATCACTTTCCCTCTAGGCCAGTTGCACCTGTTGTCGGCCATGCCGAGGCAGTATTTTTTCGACGATTTGGTCCGGTACTTCCAATTGATATCGTTGCTCAGCTGCAACATGTGAACGAGAATTGGGATGTCCATAAGCAAATTCTCGGTAGATCCAGCTTCGATCAGTAACACCTCGACCTGACGAATCTCGCTTAATCTCGCTGCTATCGTGGCGCCGGCCGTCCCGGCGCCAATTACCACGAAATCGTACATGGCTCCGAATTGCGGTACCGTGTCCGGTATCTCTTGGTTCATGTAACGTTGGCCCTGCTGTAGGAAGTTTAGGGCCCCGACACTCAGCCCAAAAATATTCGTCAACGAATATCCGCTCACGTCGTCGCCATAAATACTGCGGTACCGTTTCGGCGTCGGTTGTCCGCCCGACTGTAACGAAACGATTACAGCGACAGCACTGAGAAGGTAAAGGAGTCTCGATACCTTGTCCGGCATATCCAAGTGGCAATTGGCTATTGGCATAAAAAAATAAAAACACTTATTATACTATAAATTGACCCCAAGCTATCGATCAAGCCTACTTAGAACTTGATCCGTTCACTCGTTATCGAGATCTCAACATCTCGAGTACTCGCAACTCGTCGCGCCGCGTAAATGAGTCACGGTCGGTCAAGTGACATGTATTTCAAAAAAAGAGGTGAAATCTTTAAATTGCGCCAATTGCAAAGAAAATATATATATTGCTTTGAAAAATAATTGTTGTGCAATTACTTTTAAAATATAAAATCTAACTGGTACATATCTTTGTGTTCTCATTAAAGGATCTTCCTATTCTAACCCAAGTAATAATTGCTTCTTAATTCTGCTTTTTTACTCCCGTCACATTCTTCCCTAAATTATGTTTATTGTTTTTTTTATTCAATTAAAAAATGTTTGTACTAATGTTTAAATTTTAATGTTTAAATTTTGAAGTCTAGCAGCGCCAAGTTTTTTTTACAAAAAAATTTATTTATTTTATTTTAATTAAATATTTTTATTTTGTGCGTGCTTTGGGAAGATTTAGGATGATGCGAAGAAACTTATTTTGCATAATTTGATGCGTTTAATGTATGATTTGTGCGCTCCTGCCCAGACCGGAGCCGCGTAAAGTAACATTAATCTGGTACAAGTCTTGTATAGTAATAGTTTGTATTTGTAGGTATATGTGTTCTGTTAGTGATCTCTCAGGGCGAAAGGAGATACGAGTTAGTTCTTCAGTAGATAACGCTTGTATTTTTAGTTAGTCTGCTCTCTATGTTAGCATCCCTGCATAAAATGTCGGATTGAAAAGAATTAATTTAAATTCTGCTTTCTGATGCGAAGAAAGGGATTGAAAAGTATTAGTTCGCTGGGTTCGCATAAAACTTTACCGCGCTGAATGTGAGACAGCAGTGGTTGATGCTTCGCATTGAAAAGTATTGGATCGCATTAAATTCACCCAAAAAAAATATTCTGTCATTTATATTCACCCAGCATAAAAAAATTATTTTTTTCAAAATTTTATTACTATTTTATAACTAAATTTGTTTCTTAAGGTATTCCTTTCACGGAGGAGCGTATTTTGTAGGCGCTTAAGCAGGGCCTCAGCAAACTCTTGTATATTGCATTAAACTTATATAAAATTAAGAATTGATTATTATGTTTAATTATAAGAAAAAAGTGAAAATGTTATGTGTATTTAGAAATTTTTCATTTTTCGGTAAATTTTACTGTCAGAACGATATGGCAACGCTGCGCTTTTCAGGGCGCCGATTGTAAAATGTGAAGTTGATAACAAAAGTGTCAATGTAAGTGTCAATTTCATTAATCAAAAAATATTGTGACATTTTTTTTTATCAAAGAGAGATTTTATAATAATAATGAGTGATAAGAAACATAAAGTGAGGAGTAATGTGGGCAAAAATAAGGGACAATTTGTGAAAATAAAAGAGAACCAGCGCAATCAAAATATTATCAATTCTACAAAGAAAAGATTCAATAAGGTAAGGTTACAGAAACGGTAATATTATTAATTAAATAACTGAAAGAACAAGATAATTGGCATTGTAACTGTAATTTATATTTTGGTAAAGGAATCCGATTTTGTCCGATTTTGATATATATTTTTGGATTATTTTTATTTTTTAAAACATAATAAATAGTTGATAAAATAAACCGTACTTAATGAACTGAAGTGTGACATGAGCGCACAGCTTGCAGCGTTGCCAAATCATTCCTTGAAAGTCGCCATTAAAAATATTCATCTATAAACCACATTTCAAGTCAACTTTAAACATAAATATTTTGTTTAAATATTCGGTGACTCTGTATTTTTATCGGCACTATCGAAAGTATAGAGTTTAGCGAATATGTAGCGCAGTTAATATTTAATATCTCAAGATATTTGATAAACAAATTATTACATTGAAATGTGAAAAATAGACTTTTTCGATAACGTCACATATAAAATATCGTATTTTCGAAGTCATAATTCTTCTTTATATGTTCGGTAATGTAGTTTAAATTTTTTCTGGCGTAAAGATATGCATTTTAACTTTCTCGTGCCAAAAAATCAGTTAAGCGGGGAGAACACATTTCTGCATAACGCATAATGCGTAAGTATAAGAAAACTGATTGGTCTATTTTCTTATGCACATGTGTATGGACCAATCAATTTTCTTATGCTTACGCATTATGCGTTATGCAGAAGTGTGTGCTCCCCGCTTTAATTCTTAAGACTTTGGTGTCATGAAAGAAATACTTTAAGATGAAGTCTATGATTATAAATATTTTCTCGTATTTGAAAAAAACACTTACCTTGGTGAGATTCGAACTCGGGACCTCTGGATCGTGAGCCAACTGCCTTACGTGGTATTATAGACTTCTTAATTTGATGTAAGTGTTATATATAGTCTACATATGTCATAAACAGCGCAAATATATAATTTTTCAAAAATTATCTTAAGAAACAAATTTAGTTTAAAAAGAGTAATAAAATTTTGAATTGGATATATGATATAATATTTCTTAATGTAGGGTGAATGTCAGAAACCAGTGCCGGCTTATTATGAAATTTTGTGTTCGTAAATATATTTATGAAAAAAGTATATTTATAAAGTTAAAACAGGGCGGGTTGGCAACGGGATCGACGGACAGATAGAGAGATCGAGAGATTGAGAGATTGAAGGAGGGGGTCGATGGATCGGTAGGTCGTAAGGAGAGTAAAACAGCAGAGGGAAGCAAGCGGAGAACATTGGAAAAATTTGGTTGTGAAAGGGGAGAAAGTTAAGGTGGAAGAGAAAGAGATAGCCCGGGATGGAAGGAAGATGCATAGTGGAGAAGGAGGTGGTGGAGAAGGTAGTGGAGGAGAAAGTGAAGAGGGTGCTAAAGGAGATGGAGGATTTGAAGGAGGAGGTAAAAAGTCTGAAAGGAAGGATAGAAAGAATGGAGCTAGGAGGGGGAAAAGGAAGAGGGAAGAGTGTGAGGAGAGTAAAGGTAAGACGGGGAAGAGGAAATGGTGGATAGGAGAGGAAGAGAGAAGCGAAGAGGAAACGAGGAAGAGGAATGTTATAATAAGGATTGAGAAGAAGAGGTGGGTAGGAGAGGAATCGAGTTTGGAGAAGGTGAGGGAGCTTTTTGAGGAGGGCCTGAGGGTGAAGGCGGAGGTAAGAGAGGTGAGGGTGGTAGGTGCGAGGGGGGATTGGGTAACGTTGTTGGTTAGGCTGGGGAATGAGGAGGAGAAGTTGAGGGTGATAGAGGCAAGAAGGAAAGCGGGAAGTAGGTTAATGGTAAAGATAGACGAGGACAGGTCGGTGGAGGAGAGGATAAGAGAGAGAGAGAAAAAGTGGAGTGGGAAGGGAGAGTAGGAGGGAGAGTGGAAGTGAGCAGGAGGGAGAGGGTGTCGGAGGAGAATAGGAGGGTGAAGATGACGGAGGAGGAGGAAATTTCGAAGGAGATGGAGGACAAGCTCCTCATGGGCCCGGACGACGAGCAACAGACCTATGACTTGAAGTAGACAGGAAGGAAGAACAGAGACAGGATGAGGCGGAAGGAGGCGAACGGGGAGGCGAAAGAAGAGGGAAGGGTTAAGGGAAGGGAAATAGATTATATGTGAGGTCGCATAAGGCCAGGAAAAGAAGGAGGGGGTTTGATACTTTTTGTAAAATTGCTGTGAAAACTGAATGTGTAAGATGGTGTTTGTGAGAGGTTTGGGAACGTTCCTCGTAAAAAAATGCCTTGTAAACCCTACGGGGATACACAATAAACATACATACATACATACATATAAAGTTAAAACATTCTTATCAAATCCTTACAAGGGCCTCATTAGACAAAAGTAAGAAAACCTTTCTTATGGCATCCCTAATAAATAATGGTCGGGACCTTATCCGGGATTGGACGGGACAATGAATACATAGCACGAGCACGAAGCATGCCGATCCAGCCGATCTTGCGTTTCAGCACTGCTGCTACTGCTGCTAGGCGTGTGATGGGGGTAGCGCACACAAGGAAAAAGCCGTGTACGTGTGCGCATGTACAGTGTGCACGGCTCTTTCCTTGTATGCGCTATCCCCACCACGCGGCTGGCTGCGGTGTTGAAACGCAAAATTTTAAGAAATAAGTACGAGCTTACGCATTAAAAATAATTCACTTAGCTTAAAATATTCCTCGCATTCAATTGCAATCGATAACCTTCAAACAAATGCGAATTCTCGCATTAAAAAGGATTCACTTCTTCTGCTAATTGTTTTTGGATTCAGAGGCATACAAGATTTTTACGTTCTATTCCCAGTATCGCACTGAAAAGTATTGACCCGTGATCCAATCCGAAATTGTTGCAAAGCAGAATTCATGACAAAATCTTGTGAATGCGAAACAATATTTTTGAATAAGATGTTTTATGCAGGGTAGTTATGCGACTGCGTCTATATAAGCCTACATTCAAATTACATTCTTTTTACTCCTATTTATTAATTGTCAAAGAAAAGAAATATTTTCGAAGTATTATTGAAGTATGCTGAAGTGATCTGAAGTGTTATTTTATGCAAATATCTTTTTATTTGAAAATGCACACAAGAATTCTTAGCGTGTGCAGATTTCTCGTCTCTGACGTCACGATCTCAATAATGACGGAAAAAGACCAGAGGCCTTATAATCAACGAGAATTTTATTTTTTTTATTTTTGATGTTATGAAACCATGACAAAAAACTTTTATTTTGACTGTGAAATAATACCATGCAATAATACCGTGCAATAATAAAATGTATAAATACATTTATTTTTGTTCAGGTATTAGATAAGTTCTAAAAGTTATTTTGTGTTATATGTACAATACATTTTAGTACACGTATTTAGTACATTTAATTGTTCTTAAAATCTTCAATAATTACCAAAGATTATTTTGTTTTATGTTTTATGTTTTTTTATCAAATTGTATTAAGCCGAAATGCACCAATGTCGCATAACTTCAGTTCAACTCAATCTTCGTCTCTTTCTAAGAGGAACAGTAAAGGTGGAAGCACATAAAATTGCAGAAGCCATAAGCAGAAGACAGAAGCCATATGCGCATGAGCTATGGTATTTATAAAGCTCTACAGATACCATAGCGCATGCGCATATGGCTTCTGCCTTCTGCTTATAGCTCCTGCAATTTTATGTGCTTCCACCCTTAGTCTAACTGTTTTCCTTAGAAACAGACGAAGAGTGAATTAAGCTAAGGTTAAAGTTATGCGACGTTGGTGCAACCATGCCTTAGTATATTTAATTTTTCTTAAGATTTAGAATTGCTTCGTCTCTGTAAGACATATTTTTATATAATAAAGAAGTCTCACATGTAATTATATTCCTTACATGTTGTCCTCTATTATGCTTATTTAATATTACTCTAATCCACACTTCTAATGTATAACATCAATTAACTTATATAGCAAGGCCTTGTGCCAGACAGAATCGAAAGCTTTTTGTATATCGAGTAACACCATAGCTGAGCTTCGTTTTTTGTTAATCTCCAATGCGAAAAATTCTGTGACTCTAAGTAATTGTTGAATGGTAGAATGGCGTGTTTTAAAGTCAAATTGTTCGTTGATTATGATATTATTCTCTGATAAAAAGGCATCAATCCGCGTGAGTAAGACTCTCTCATAAATTTTACTTAGAGAGCTTAAAAGGCTTATAGGCCTATAATTAGTCGGAGAAGTTTGTGGCTTGTCCGGCTTAGGAAAAGCGAGTATTTTTGCCGTCCAACAGTATTTTTACCGTTCCAACACGAAGGAAAATAATATAATAAAAGAGTTTAAGATAATGTAATAGATCTGAATTACGATTTTATATGATGATTTTTTGAGCATAGCAGTGGTGACCTTATCAGAACCGGGGGCTTTATTATTAGGAAAAGATTTGATGATATCAAAAATTAAGCGAGGAGTAATAAATTTTAAATCACATTGAAGTGTCTTTTCATCTAAGAGTTCAACGTACTCATTTACTATATTTTCATGTGGAGATATAAGACTGTCTGCTTCTTGATATATTTTTTGAAAGTTTTGCGCCAATAATTCAGCTTTTTCTTTTGGATTGTATGCAAAAGTGTTATTACCAAGATCAAATGGTGGCGCAGGAGTTTTGTTTCTCTGTAGTGACCTCCACAGCCCCCAGATGCTATTATCGCTAATTTTTGCTTTTTTCAAACGTTTAGACCATTTTTTATTTTTAGCTTTATTTAATTTATTTTGAATAATATTATTGAGTATATTACGATAGAGCTTATATTTATCTGATGAGCCAGAATGTTGGTATTTTCTTCGATAGTAATAACAAAGTTTAATAAGCTTATCAATTTCTGAAGCTACAGCAGGATCTGACGTTACATGATTGAAGTTATAATTTTGCACCTCGGTGGACTTTCTTAAGGCCCCACACAGCTGTAATTCGTGAATACAGGAATCAATCATTTCCTGATTTTGCAGACTATGTCTTATCCTCCACCTACTCGTAGCAAGCTTAAAATCTTCCCAATTGACCTTATGTGACTGATTAGTTTTTCTCTTAATTTGCGATTTTTCCTGATTTAAGAGAATGGGAAGGTGATTGGAAGAAAGCTCGTTTGCAGTTACGCACGTAAAATCGTAATTTAGATTCTTAGCTAGAAACAAATCTATGTTGGAAGAGCGTTTGCGGGGCGCCTTGTGCGAATAAGTTGAGCTATGCATAATATTTAAGTTATTTTTATTTGAATATAATGTTTTATAAAATCCTCGTCATCTCGCTCTAGTACATCTACCGTCTCGGCTAAGCATTGGAAGCGATTAAAAGTATTAAATTTACCTTAAAGCCGCCGTCCAGCTGTCCGTTATCCCAACAGCACCAGGGATAGCCCTCGTCGGCACAGCTCACACAAGACTCGAACTCGCAGAGTCACAGACAAGCTTGGTTAATGCGAAATACTGAGTCGGGCCCGATATGCTCCACCGCAGCTTCGTCTCTTCTTTATATACTAGTAATACCCATGTCCAGAAATTTTTAAGGAGGTTGGTTGCGGGTGGACGGCGGGGCAGGGGAAACTTGTGGGCGTGTTTTCGTCCCATAACATAAACGAGTAAATGAAAGCAAATAAAAATGTAAAGGACATTTTTAATTAGATGTTTCTTAAGGGTTTAAATCGTATGTATAAATTGTTTGTATATCGTAAGAAGCCAAATATCCCAGATCCTCTATCTTCACGACGTCTTATGCAAAATGCATGATTTGGGATGTCATTATGCACGTTGAAATGTAGCAATATACTATTCTATTTTTACAATTTCTTGGTAACTATGTAGACATTTTAGTCGTCGTAAAAGTCTTTCCTGAATATGTAAAGAATTATTTGCATCTATTTTCATTAAATTCTTATCATTCCTGAGACAAAATTATATATACAAGTTTTAAATAGGATCAAGTTTTAAGTAGGCTTGATCGATAGCTTAGGTCGATAAAGAAATACGCGATTGTTGCGAGGAATCTTGCTTACCTTGGCTATAACCAAAAATTTTAGATGCAGTCAAGGATAACCAAGAATTCTCGCAACACGTCGCGTCGCGTAAAAGAGTCACGGTCGGTCTCGCTCCGTGTGTACTTGGCGGGAGACCATACACCACCCGTAAGAATTTTAGATAATAGTATAGATATGTCGCAGAGATATCGTGTAATTCGTTTTTTTTTTGCACAATCTCTATAGGGAATTCACAAAGAACCGGGATATTGTGAAACGCTAGGAAAAGTATCTTTTTTTACCTTGGCCTATATCAAAATGATTTCTGTATCAGACTTTCAGTCGGGTGGCAGATCAAGGTTTCTCGAGAATGTGTTAATTTCTTTTAATTAAACTTTTATGTAGTTTCTATATTTAAATAGTTGAGTTTTTATGTTTTTATGTGTGGTTTTCCTTTAATATACTTTGTATACGTCAATTTAAATCAAAAGTGGTTTTTTGGCAAATTATAGATACATATTTGCAAATTATACATATTTGCTTTGCAATATATTAAAAAAATTTTTATTTATCTTTAAAAATAAAAGTTTATAAAATCAGAATTATTGTTTTTTTTTATTTTCTTAAATATTCTTTGTCTCTCACATTTACACTTACAGATACTTTTTGAATTTATGAAATAAACTAATACTTGAATATCTTTTTAAATGCAATTTCTTTTTAAATGATACCTCACAAATAATGTATCAAATATGAGCATTTATATTATCGTCGTTATTATAAAGTAGACATGTATGTGAGTAAAAAATAGTAAAATAATGCAATTACTTCATAAAAGTTTATTATAATTATGACTTTTTCAAGTAATCCCACTCTTTTTTTTTATCATATCTGCCGTTTTTCGGCGATCATATAAACAGGAATGTTTAAGTGTGCCAATATAATTTCGGGTATAATGGACGCATCTACTACTCGTAATCCTTCAATACCAATAACCTGCAAAATATTATAGTCCAGTCATTTTAGGTTTTCTGTGCAAAAAAATTAGATCCTACTTTTTTTTAATTGCTTTCGTTGTTTTAAATAACATATTAAAAATAGAGAACGATATCGGCAGGGCTAAAAAGTTATTCAAGATTAAAGGTCACGGAAATCAGTTTTTTGCGAAAATCTTGTTTTGTATGGCTCGGAGGTCAATTAAGGTAGTTACAAAAAAGAAAGATCATGAAATTCTCTACAAAAATGGTTCTATTCATTTTTCACGTACGATGAACCGTTGCGAAATACAAAGTGACGAATGTGTACGTCGAGCGTTGTATCCATTTCCGCACCACCTTTGAGATAAGATACAAGGCGTGTTTTTTTTTACATGGTGTCCCCAATAGGCCTAATCCATGTCAAATGTAAAAAAATTACGTTTCATCATCTTCGTTATCTTTATCATTAAAAAAAATTAATTATTAATTTTTATTTTTTAATTTTTTTTATTTTTTCTCCATACATCGCCAAAATTATCCGTACTCCATTCTCAAATATAAGTTGTTGAAAAATGAATAGAACCATTTTTGTAGAGAATATTATGATCTTTCTTTTTTGTAACCATCTTAATTGACCTCCGAGCCATACAAAACGAGATTTTCGCAAAAAACTGAGTTTTGTGACCTTTGATCTTGAATAACTTTTTTAGCCCTGCCGATATCGTTCTCTATTTTTAATATGTTATTTAAAACAACGAAATAAAGCGATTAAAAAAAAGCAGGATCTAATTTTTTTGCACAGAAGCCATATTTTCGTCTAAAATGACTGGACTATTACATTATGAATTTATAAAGCACACTGCTTATTATGATATCCCGCATAAATATTCTAATACGTATTTTTCGTAAAATTGTATTCCGTTAATCGTATCTCCACTGCTAATTTTTTAATATCAAGTTAACATAAGTAAATAATTTCCGATGTATGCGACAAAACTTAAATAATAACTAAAGAGACAAATGTGATAAGGGAACAAAAACTTCAAAATCAAAATTGACTGAATTGGTGAATCGAAGTATTAATGTACTCTTAATCTTATCAAGCGTTAAACAAAATTTTTTTCTCGTTTAATTCGAGTCTTGCTCTGGTTGCCAGCTTCTACATAGAATGCATATTGTGAGCTGCGTGCGATGTTCATAAAAACGATGAAAACTGATGCACATTCAATCCTAATGTATATCATTGAGGATGAAAGCTGAATGGTACTCTTCTAAATCGGAAATTATTTCTTTCAAGTTTACTTTACCAGTGTTTTTTTAAATAACATATTGATAATTCAGAAAATCTCAGGAATATTTTTTACATGCAGTTTTCATAATTTTTAATTATTTTTATCAGAACCGAATAAAACTTGTTGAATTTTGATACTTACATTACGGCATCAGTATAAAGAGTGAGATTGCACATATCTTCCTTTCTCTCTCGCAGAATTTTGGAAAAAAAAATCGGAACACCGTTATGTATCATACTTTAACTAGAGAGTAAACGGATGTACGTTTTGATATTTGGTTGATTTAAAATTTTCCTTCTGTTACATATGTTACAGTTGGCGGTATGAGCCGGCCGTCCAAAGCCGTGACTCAAGCGAAGAAAGTAGCACCACCAGCTGTACCAGACGTGTTTCGACAATCCGGTTTCTCATTTGGCTCGGCTGGATATGCTAGCAGCGAGGATAGCTGCTTCCTCTCCGGAAGCGGCCTCGAGGGCACGGCGGACGATGGTTCCTACGGGATGCCATTTGGAAAAAGTCCGAGACCTATTTTTACCCATTCGGGTTTCGCCTTTCCGCCGGTGATCGGCAAGTATGCCCACGCCGAAGATTAAGGTGCGAATTATACAACGTCATATTATTATTATTATTATTATATTAGGTTAATTCTTTCTTAATGCGAACAGCGTAAAAAAACATTGTTTTTAAATAACAAAGTATACGTTGCTATTAAAAGATTTTTACCGCTATGGTTGAAAAATATGGATGTTTTGATATTTCTTAGGTATCGATATGACCTAGAGTCCTGGCAGAGACAGTCCCGGTAGTTCCGGATCAGGTTCCGGTTCTAGGCACTCTACAGCGTCATTAGATTCTGGAAGAGCGTCTGGATATCACTTGGGACCTAGATGACCTGGCGCTCTTGCCTCATCTCCTAGATGTTCTATTAGTTCCTTCGGAAGTCATCCTGACCCACCGGCAGACCTTGACGTCGTTCACGCTTGGTTAAACGAGCTCCAATTAGAAGAATACTTCCCCTTGTTTGCTTCCGCGGGTTACGATCTTGCTACTATAACGCGCATGACACCGGAGGATCTCACGGCTATAGGTGAGGCACATATCGCAGTAGCAAATCTTATCTAAGCGCATTCTTAAATGCATTCATTTAATTCATAGAGATATTACTCGTAGAAATACGCTATAAAATATTTAAACAAGTACATAGTTTTACACATTATTTTACAGGTATCAAGAAACCTAATCATAGGAAACGACTAAAAGCGGAAATAGACAATTTGAATATAGGAGATGGATTGCCGGAGCATGTACCCGGATCATTGGAAGAATGGCTCAGGCTTCTCAGGCTCGAGGAATATCTTGGCGCACCATCAATAGGGTATGCGATTCGTCGAGGACGTGACAACTCTCACTTGGGAGGACACCTTGAAGACATCGGTATCATACGGTTAGGGCATCAGAAAAAATTATTGTTAGCAATTAAGAGAGTTAAGAATATTCGCGTTGGCAAGCGTATACAGCCACTCGATCTTGCGCGTCTGCCCCCATATCCTGGACATACGCAGGTAAATTATGTTCCCTATGATCTTCATCAATATCGAATTCATTAAGAGAGTGTAATCTCTTAATTACCTTGATCAATATATCGCGAAAAATGTTACGAATGAATAGAAGATAATATCGCATAATTTATGACTTTTTAGGACGTTGTTATTCAACGAGGTGGACCTGATTTACCATCGCCTGATGAGGATTGTTCCTCGCCTGTACTTAGATCTTTTCAAAGGGGTGGAAACAATACCACTTCTGGTGTTGCTTGGAAAAGTATGTACGCCGCGTTTCCAACGGACTATAATACAATTGGCCGTACTAGCTCCCGGGGAAAATCTTTGGAAAGTCTAGAAGATGCGTTTCTTGGCTATCCTCCTTCACCGGCGCCAACACCGCATCCACAACCTTTCGATTGGCGTCCCCGCAGTTTCGAGGACGGCGATCTTACACCCACGAATGATGCTTCGCCGTTGTAGATGCTGGTGGTGGCACTCTTCCACGACCAAGACATTGCCTCCTTCGCCCGCGGCCTGTAGCCAAGGTACATTTGATTGTTTCGAATGTAAGTATGGATGTATGATTGAAACGAAAACGAGCGAGAGAAATTTTTGTGCTGATGATTCAATTGTTTTGTGATTT